TGGAAACAAACGGAAACAAGTATCTCAAAGTTTAGAAGACAGAAACGGACACAGAATATTATACATCAATGAAAAGTTAAATGAATGGGAAAACTACATTTCTGCATTATTTGAAGATAAGAGAGTACAACACTATACACCGATTGCTATATCAGGCCCATCTATAACAGAAAGTGAGGTAAGACGTTCAATACAAACGGCAAAAAATGGAAAAGCACTTGGCCCCGATGAAGAAAGTGCTGAAATACTAAAGTTTTTGGGAGAAAATGGAATTAAAACTCTGTGTAATCTCTTTAACAGAATTTATGACACTGGGATATTACCAACTGATTGGTTAAAGTCGACATTTGTCACAATACCTAAGAAACATCGTCCAAAGACATGCGGTGATTATCGGACAATAAGTCTGATGAGTCACGTTTTGAAGATCTTCCTGCGAGTAATACACAGCAGAATTTACACGCTGTTAGAGGACAGAATTAGCAATACTCAATTTGGGTTTAGGAGTGGCTTGGGTATAAGAGAAGCCTTGTTTAGTATACAGGTGCTAGTACAGAGATGCAGAGATATAAATCAAAATGTGTACATTTGTGCAATCGATTTTGGAAAAGCTTTTGACAAAGTCCGACATAACAAAATGCTAGAAATATTGGAAACAGCTAGATTGGACGATAAAGATCTACAAATAATTACAAATCTACACTGGCATTAAGTGGCAAGAATAAAGGTTGAACAAGAACTGTCGGATGAAATAAATATAAAAAGAGGAGTAAGACAAGGCTGTATATTGTCGCCTTTACTTTTTAACTTATATTCGGAGGAAATATTTAAGGAAGCCTTAATGGAGACAACCAAAGGTATTATTGTGAATGGAGTAACCGTCAATAATATTAGATATGCCGACGATACCTTAGACAAAATCTAATGAACAACATAAAACAGACTTGTGATCAGTATGGATTAAAACTCAACGTTAAGAAAACTAAATATATGATAGTTAGCAAACAAAATTATATACAGGATGACGGTATAAAAGTCGGAGATGCCACACTGGACAGAGTAGAGAAACTCGTGTATCTCGGCAGTAATATCAATGGGAGCTGGGATACAACCGCAGAAATTAAAAGCCGAATAGAACAAGCCCGAGCTGCCTTTGTAAAAATGAGAAACGTAGTTTGCAGTCACGATCTTACCATTGACCTTAGAGTTCGTATGACATCTTGCTACATCTTTCCTGTCCTGCTGTATGGAGTGGAAGCGTGGACTCTAACTGAGGCCATGCTTAAACGCTTGACAGCCTTTGAGATGTGGGTATACAGACGTCTACTGAAAATAAGTTGGGTCGACAGAGTTAGAAATGAGGAGGTCCTTAGACGGCTGAGCCAAACAACACAACTGGTCAATATAATAAAGAAACGCAAGCTGGAATACTTCGGTCACATTATGAGATAGGTACCCTAAAAAATATGATCTTTTACATCTCATCATTCAGGGAAAGTACCAAGGTAATCGTGGTCCTGGTAGACGAAGAACATCATGGCTGAAAAATCTAAGGCAATGGTATGGAAAATCAACTACATCGTTATTTAGAGCTGCTGTCAATAAAGTCACGATAGCGGATATGGGACCCAACATGATATCCAACGATCGATAAAGGTCATGGAACTAGAAGAAGAAGAAGGTTAGATTGACTATATGTCTGTTAAAGTGTACCGTTTTTGAGACGTCTTCGATTACGGGTTAAAGTTAGGGTTTTGGTAAATTATATTTAACTTGTTATTTTCAAATAAAAATATTTGTACTAAAAATAAAATAATTGTGGAAAATTGTGTAAAAATTTTAATTTGTTTATGTACAGTTTCCAACCATTTCTAAACTTTTTATCAAACATAATTAAATGCTAATTTGCCTAATGTGTTTAGAATCTTTGTAAGCGGTTATATTATAGTTTACCCCTCACGCACAACAGTTAGAAAGTTCTGTCATATTGATCTAAAGTCAGTATATTGTAATTCACAGGTGTAGTTTCAAGTGACCGTCATGCCTAGACGTAAGTTGGATATTATTGAATTAATTGCAAATGTGCAAAAATACTTTACCATGAAAATAGAGAATGGTGGACCTTTAAAGTCATTATTATGTACAATCAACGCGTTTGTGACGCACTCGGAGTAAGTGAAAGTAAGCTAAAAGCTGTAATGAACACTGTCAGAGATTCTCAAGAAGATCTTATTCTGACTCCGTATCACAAAGACAAGAAAACAACTCGTAAACATTCGAGGAGCATTGATTTACCTAATGGAGAAAAATTTGAAATTCGCAATATTTTTTATCGAATGCGTGAAAACAATTAACATGCTAGTTTAGATACTTTACTAGTCAAAATAAGAGAAAGGCAAGTTTCTGAAATTAAAATGACTAGCCTTTGGAAAGTGTTGAGTGATTTAGGATTTAAATTCAAAAAAAAATTAGGTTACTTTTATGCGAAAGGAATAGTGTGGTTCACACAAGAATTAAATTTTGAGAGATTATACTAGCCTAAAAATGCAATATTCGTATACTTAGATGAGACATTAATATTTCCAAAGGGTGGAATTTAAAAAAATTGGCAAGAAGACAGCATAAAATCAATAAAACACACAGATAGCGAAAGCAAAAGACGACACATCATTCATTATCAGGAGAGAAAAAGGCTTTATAGAAAACACAGATTTGATTTTTTCTTAAAAATCAAAATCTGCTAGCGTGGACTATCATTTATAGTTTTAGATAATGCACCTTTACATTTGGCAATTTTGGAGAAACAACCAAAAGAGTCGTGGAACGAACCAAGCATAAAAAATGGTTAGTTAAAAATAATATTCAAATCATATTTACTGGAAATTTTGAAATGTAATGACCAACAGTTTATATAGTTGACCAAATTGTATCAAGGTATGGACATCAAGTACTATGGGTACCGTATCACTGCCAGTTTAATCCCATCGAACACATCTGTAGATGTAAAACGTATTATGATAATCACGTTGGATGCAGTGAATACAGTGACGATGCAGTTAGGGAAATGTGGCAAGAAGTCCTTAAAACTGCAACTCTAGAAATATGAGCCAAACCTATAAATAGATGTAAAAAATTAATAGAAGAGTGGTGGATATCCGGGAAAATAAAATTAGTGAAATTAATCTAGTGATTATAGATTTACGTAATTATGATGATGATTCATAAATTTAAATAATCCATAAGTACACTATTACATATAATGTTATTTACAAAATAATTGTGCAGTAGGTTAACCATTATATTTATACATTAATTATTAGCCAAATAAACAATAATATTTAAAATTCTATTTGAATTGTTGCTCTTCATTTGATACAAATTAACTCTAACTGTTAATACTGGCAAAAATATTTTAAACAAAGTAAGTAATTAAAAAGATTATGAAGACCTTCAGTGCAATTTATCGTGCCTTTTCCTACACAAGGAAATGTTTTTTGCGAATTTTATTATTCATTTAGAGGTGTAAGTTGGTTGAATATACTGTAGCTGCAGCTAGGGATGAAAAAAACCTACCGGTTTTAACCGAAAACCGGTTTTTTTTACTTCGCAATAACCGGTTTTATCGGTTGTTTTTTTGTCCCGGTTATAACCGGTTTTTTATTTTTATAGCAAAAACCGGTTATTAGGTTTTTACGGTGATTAGGATTAGGTTAGGTATTAGTTTGGATCCCAATCATAATTATTATTTTCAAGTAATTATTCCAAACAAAACCATAATTCAAATTTTATTTTATTTTATAAATACAGAAGCAAACTGAAAGTGCAAACTCACATCAGCCAGAAACAATTAAGTTTTATTATAATATTTCGTTGAAAAGGTATTTAGTAATTATAATCTTTACATAAGAAGTGATCTGGTAGATCATGTATTTTTCACACTTGACTCTTGACATTGAAAGTGGGTGAATGGCTTTTGCTGATTACCAAAAATAATGTTTTGACTATGAATATCGAATTACCAATTACGAATACGAATCTCCAAGGATTTCCCTACGTTTTCAAAACGATACTCTAATACAGGAAGTAATAAATGAGTTAAAATGTACCTATTATACAAATATACAAACTTGTTAAAAGTAATATATGATCATTTTTTTTGATGGTACTAAAAATAAAAGAAGACTTGCATTATCCAATTTATTTTTAAGTAAAATAATTATGTTGATATTATTTTTTTTAAATCCCATTTGAAAGAGTCTGGGAAATTTTTTATAAGTTTGGTTGGGGATTTTTTTGGGTTTGGGAGGAGAGGAAAATTGGTAGATATTTTAGAGGATTATATTGTTAAATGGTAAATTAAATTTGCATCATTAATTGAATACAATAATTGCCTATTATATTCTACTCTCATAATAAATTCAATGGCAATAGAACCTGAATTGTTTCAGCGCTCTCTGTTGAGCAGTAGTATAATATTATATTTGATAATAATCAATAAATATATAATAATAATAAAGTAATATATAAATATATTAATTAATAGAATAAAATGGTTTTATTAAAAATTATGTTTTATTTATATTGATATTGATGTTCTTTCAATAGTACTAATTTTGATCACATTGATATCGAGTCGAATGAAGTATCGCAAACTAAAGTGCATTGTAAATGTAACTTTGTAACCTATTGGATTAAAAAAACAAAAAAACGATTTTTGGAAAAACCGGTTTTTTTTACCGGTTATAACCGCCAGATGAAACCGTAAACAAAAAAAACCGGTATAACCGAAAACCGGTGTTTTGTGAAAAACCGCCATCCCTAGCTACAGCCCCTCTGCCATATTCTATGTTGATCCAGGGATGCTTATTTGGTTATACCTTATTCACAACTGTCCTGTATCAGCCCTTCCTATGGATTTTCAAGTATATAAAACTAATTAAATAGTTATATTAGGATAACTAGATACTTGTATTATCAACTTAAAAAAAACACGATATTTTAATAACTTTATTTTTAAATTAGATTGGATGAAAATAACATATTAACAAAATAACTATAAATAACTCAATTTAGTTAGTTATGTATTATATTAATAAGTAAAATAAATTTATATTGTTACAGACAAACATAACATTATTAGTATAAATACCATTCAACAAAATAGTGACTCATACAAATATTCTCCTAATTAGCCCTTAAAAATTGTTGTTCCATTATTCTAAGATTCTAAGCAGCAGCTGAAACATTAATAAATTTCGTTAATAATAAATATTTGGAAAATATGGGAAATAGATTAGGAAAACGATAATCTGTAAGTGGTTATCTAATAGTAATATTCACATCTTGAAGACATTAATTACTACATGTTTTTTGAACACATGGCAAAAATATGTTAGCAATGTGTAAAAAAACAGTTAGACATAAAATTCATTTTCTTTTTATTGTTGAACTCGCAAATGGACCATCTCCTTATGATTAAGATTATGATCTTTCTAATTTAAGTAAGTCGCTTTCATGCTTTGTAAATAGTCGTTAACACTAAAACCTAAGCCAGAAGGTTACACGAATGGAAGATGTACAATAAGTTAAATGGTTAAATTCAAAAACAAAAAAAAAGCAAACCAACTAGTACATGACGCACATCTTTTGTATTCTTATTCTAATATCATTCAGTTAGGTATATGAGAAATAATTCCTTGGCTACAGATCTGTCCTGCTTACAATAAACATGTCAAATATTATAATATATTTTTAACGAAGTCTCCATTACTAATAACAGATTTTTCATATCCCTCTTTCAAATCATTTTCTCGTTACTGAGTGTTGTGATTTCCTACCATCCGTGCAATTGTATATCTCCATGAGATTGGAAGCATTCTCCTTCAGCACCATGTCTCAATGAGGTAATTTTTTTCCTACCGTCCAATTTTATTGTCCATGTTATGAACCCGTAACTGAACATAAGAAAGATTAAGATGCGTACCAATCTCATTTTTCTGTTATTCGACAAAAAACAATATCTCCACTGTTTTGATAATCGACTTATAGCAAGTTTGGCCATTCCTATTCTCCTTTGAATTTTGGTTTTATAAGAGCCTGAATTACTAATGTAGGATCCTAGAGAATTAAACTCACTAACCATTTCAAACTGGTCCAAGCGTCCGGTTGTTTGCAGTGTGTTTCAATAATAGACTATAACATACTTTTTGTTTTTGGTTTATAGATCTTCAAACTACATCTATTGTCATCGGTTTAGACTCACTCTTGACTGTGGTACAGATATCGCCATTCTATTTGTCAAGTCAAAAGAAAAGGCAAAAAAGTATTTTTGAAGTGTGTATATTTTTTAATAATTCCTAGCTGAGCGCTTTCGGCTTTACAAAGCCATCATCGGAGCTATGGTCAATTTATAAATACCACTACAATGGAGAGATCTCATTTCCTTATTTGTTGAAATTTTGATTTTTTAATTAGTTAGTTGTTAAAAATTCTTAAAAAACATATAAAAAACCTGACACTGGACTTCACAGACACATTAAAAATTTTTTGTCATGGTACGGATGTAAGAACCCGACCATTGTTTGCTATGAGGAGGTAGACAGAATAGAGCCGAAAGCGCTCAGCTAGGAATTATTAAAAAATATACACACTTCAAAAATACTTTTTTGCCTTTTCTTTTGACTTGTCATAAGTGTGTACAAAAAACATATCAGTCTTTTGATTATTTGTCAAGTGTTTTTCTCTTTATAGATACATTCCTTACCAAAAAACCCCTTTGTAACTTTGTAACGTTTATACTTAATACTGAAATTTGGACCGAGGAAATAAATTGACGTAGGCTTTTCAACCAGTAATAACAGGTAACGTAATAGTGAGAGATGACGTTAAAGTTAACGTTAAAGAGCCACTGCGACCGATAATTTTAAATGTGACCTTATGGACGGTAATATCTTGTTTAAAAGCTATTGAACATACCTATTCAGTCTTTGTAGTGAAGCTTTTTTCTTGCGGCATCTTATTGCAATTTATTATTTTTCTATGAAATAATCCAGAATTTTGCTTTAAAATTAAGTTTGTTTATTTTTTTTATTTTGTGTGTTTGAGAACGATTTCCGAAGTGAAAATCAAGACGTCAAGTAAACTTAGTTTTAAAGCAAAATTGTAGCTTAGTCCCAAGAAAATATTAAATTACTATTCAATCATACTTGCTCATTACAATTTTCTTTGTGTTTGAGCTGATTTTGATGAATAAATGAAATAAATACTAAAATTATAGTTTAGCATTTAATTAATAAAGATGCTAACGTGTGCCTCTGGTTTTTCTCAAAAAAGGTGATGTTTTTCGATTCTCTAGTTGTTTTCACTTTGCTTAATTTTTGCAAAAGTGTTTACACATTGAATATTTAGTTTAATTATTGTTTAACTAGACATTTAAATGTTTACATAGACAGAATGGTACATACTCTAACCGACAAAGTAGCAGCTGTCTTAATAATTATTGGTGAATTATTTGAAGGAGCTTTTTTCGGAAGTTTGAAGAAACAGGTAGTATTCAAGACTCCAAACGACCTTCCGACCAACAATTAGTGATGACAAAAAAATTGACATAGTTGCAGAAATAATAGTAAACCCTACTTCTTCTACAGTTGCGTCTATCTGTGTAATCACTTAAAGAACAGTATACCGAGTGTTGGCTAAAAACAAATTTCATCCATACAAATTAAAAATTGTGCATCAACTTTCAGATGATGACCCCTATCGAAGACCAGAATTTTGTAAAAATATGTCCAATCAAAATAAATATTAGCCAGATTACATAAAAATAGTTGTGTTTTAGTAACAAAAGTACTTTTTCCCTCAATAAAAATGCTAACACAAAATGTGAAGTGTTTGAAGTGATACAAATACTCACGTTTTTCGTGAAAAATATACTAAATTTTCAGAAAAAGTACATGTTTGGGGAGGTATTTTGACAACTATATAGTTGGGCCAGCTTTTCTCAAAACTAATTTAACCGTTGAAGTGTATCTGGAGATGTTACTTAACGCAATTAAGTCGTTAATTCTTAATATTCAGAAAGATAATGAAGATCAATTTGGCAACTTGGAAACTATGTTTTATAAAAATAGTGCTACTGCACACTATTATGGTGCAGTAAGACGTTACCTAGATGAGAAATATCGGGATACATGGATCGAATGACTAGGTTCGATAGAACGGCCAACTCGGTCACCGGACCTCACACCATTTTATTTTTTTTTTAGTGGGGGTACTTAAAATCTAGGGTTTACGCTACAACGTCCGACAGTATTGAATTTTTTGAAATAACAAATTGTTGAAGAATGTAGAGCAACTTCCCTTGATACATTTGAACGAGTACGAAAAATGTTTAGCAATAGCATTATTGCCAGGAAGTAGAACGCGCATTTTGTACACTTAATATAAGACCTGATTCTTAAATCTGATATCTACAATTTTAGTATCTATTTAATTTCATAAAAATCAGCTTAAAACCAAACAAAATTATTATGATTGAATAGGAATATTTCAATATTTTTTAAATGGTATATTACTTGCCATGTGGGTCTGTAATGTCATCTATAACTATTACGTCACATTTTATGGCTAGTTGAGAATCCTATATATATATATATATATATATATATAATATATATATATATATATATATATATATATATATATATATATATTATATATATATATATATATATATATATCCGGTTTTTAGGCGTTATGCCCGTCCGGTAGGGATCTATGGAGGAGTATCACCAAGCCGCAAGCCCTTATCTCTTGCCGTACAGCTCCACCATAGGCCGATCAGATCCCAGCATATCCTAGTCTAAGCCGCAGATTCATCTAGAATTTTAAACTGCTGCGTTAGACTTTTTGTTTTCAGTACACCGAGCTGGGGCTCGAAGTGAAGCGAATGAGAGGCAGCCGCACAGCCCGCTGAGCTGTCTGACCGACAAATCTGACCGAGAATCCTACGCCTGTTTATTTTTTCCTCCAAATTTCACTATTATAACTATAACCGTTCAAAAGATACTAGGGAGAGAGGACTTTTTGCTATCACTTATTACCCATATAAGTTAAACAGACCTAGACATAGAATGCATCCTTGATACACTCCCCTACCGACTTTAAAAGGGTTGGACTTAGCAGAACTGAGCAATCATCAGGAGCTTCTATGTCGGGTGGAATTTTCCACAAAGCTTTCTAGTTTTCAGAGTCAAATGCTTTTCTGTTATTTCCTATCCAGTTATGTCTGCATGTGACATTTGATGATTCTCTATATAATTTAACTTGGGTGTGAAATTATTGAGATGGTTCGGTAGTTACTACATTTTTGTAATTACACACTTTTTATGAATTGGACTAAATAGCGCAGTAAACCAATCACTGGGCCTTTTGCTGACTCATGGCTCACTCATGTTTTGTAAAAGCTCAGCTGTGATGTCATTGCAACCGAGTGATTTTTTTCTTTTATTTTTTACTTTTTATGTTTCAGTATTTCCATGCTTCTTGAAAAATAGCTTGTTCGACTTCTTTTTCTTATTGTGCTTTCGAAGATTGTCAATCCAAAAGCCAATTGAACCTTTGAAAATTGCCACGAAAAATTTCTGCGAAAGAGCAGTCAAGGTCTTTCAACCACGAATTTAAAAGTCTTCCTACTGATCTCTTGCTCTTCATATACTCCCCCTCCTCTTGAACGACTGGTCTAGCTAATCGTAAACCTGTGATTGATTGGATTGTTTTGCTTCATAATAAGCACCTATAAATATGGCTTCTTTTTGCAGGAGATCTACCAACATTTAGGCCTTAAAATCCCAATATAGAATTAGCATGCCTTTGAAAGGTTGTATATTTTATTTTTAGGCGGTCACTAATCTCGATGTGCCCGCTTAATACAGTGATGTGACACTTATCTTGAATATATCTTCAATTTAGCAATAATTATATGATATACATTGCAATGTGAAGAAAATGATTTTAAAGTAACGAAATTATTAAGTTCACCATGGTGATAATGTCTCATACCTATGTTTAAGCTGGTAGATGAAGAAGGTTGAATGGTCACGAACATTCAACCAACATTAGACACATATGATGAATAATGTGATGATCGATAAACAGAACGATGAAATGACGACACGTAACACAAATCCTCATCGGAATCTTCACCTTCTATAATGGGAGGTGAGGAAATAGCTGGCGCTGGTTCCGTTGGTACTGACTCGACGGCAGGTTCAGCGGGAGTCTCGGCAGGAGTTTCAGCAGGAGCAGCTTCGGCTGGTGCGGCTTCGGACGCAGGGGCTGCTTCGGCGGCTGGGGCCTCTGCAGGAGGGGCGGCTCCTAAAAGTAAAACAAGTTCTTAACAATAGAAAAAAATCTCAAAAGTTGAATTCAACTTTCAGTACATAATACTTAGCAGCATTTTTGATTTGTGATATAGTGTAATAAGTAAGATATTTTACAAAATATAATGACGATTAATTATTATAGTTAATTGAAATTCTACACTTTTCATAGTAATTAACGATACGTTACTGACATAATAACCAAGTTAAATTTTTATAATTATAGAATGGTATAATACCTTCTGCTGGTGCGCTCTCAGCTGGTGCCGCTACCGCTGCTGGTGTTGCCCCTTCCTCTGCTGGTGCTGCTCCTTCTGCTGGAGGAGCTCCTTCTGCTGGTGGTGCACCTTCGGCAGGGGGCGCACCTTCTGCCGGAGCTCCCTCTGCTGGCGGTGCTCCCTCTCGAGGTGGTGACGCTTTAGCTTCCAGAGCTGCAGCTTCGGCAGCATGTCCTTAATATAAGGATTAGTATTATATTATATTATAATTGTCTAATATTGTTTTACTTGCCAATTATAAACACTAAATGATTTAGATACAAAATGTTGTTAGAAATATTATGATGTATATGATTATTTAGTGAATATATACTGAAGATGTCGATTAAAAAGTTGTTAAAATATATATGATATACGTTTACAACATGTGAATGGAAATAAACACGATGATTACGTACAGTGATGATGAAGACTTAGTATCTTACCATTCTTCTTTAATTTCTCTAACAAATCTTCAAAACTTAGATGTGCGTGCTCAGTTTCGGTAGCCGCAGCTGTTAAATCAACAACTTTATATTTAAGAGAGTCTTTGACGTACATTATGACGCCATCTCCACTGCCCCTACGATTTTCAACTAGTGAATAATTTGGTATAGCTACTGCTTCTTTGTCTTCTGTCGGTGCTAATATTGTTTCGGGTAATGTTATAATGTCGTAGTTTTCATTAAGAACTAACTTTTTGAATGTTTCGAATCCTGCGAAACCAAAACTGTGTAAACTTAAGTTCGATTAGAAAAACATATACTGTAACGTGACTACAAGAAAAAATAGTTTTAAGACCCAATGATCATGTAATGCGAAACATACATATGAGTATACATAAAGCCTTCAAGTCATATAATGTATGAATAGCAATAAAAGTTCGGTATTCAACGGCATCCCTGCAGAAATATTTTAAACATTAAAGAGAGGTACTTATAACTTAAGAAACATAGTAAGCATACATATTTTTAGAAGATAGAGAGTTTCACAAACACGTGTTATTGTTGTTAAAACATGTATAAATATTTATAAATCGAAAAACTTTTTTCAACATCAACAGAAGTTGCTGGTGCATTTTAAACTTTTGCTTTATGTTGGAAGAAAATGTGACAAGGTCACCTTAATTAACTTTCGCAACTTTTTCCAAACTAGAAAATCGTGAATTTTCGCTTAAATTATATTGCAATCTTTATTTCCTATTCTTCTGATATTCGTAGGTTTCTTCTGTAACACCAAAATCCAAAAGCGGCCAGCTTATTTAGATGCACTTGATTTATTGTCCATGCTTCTAGCCATAAATAAGAGTAGTGAATACATAACACCAAAGCATTATTAGGCGTAGTCCTAATCTTATACCACGACAATTAAGAAACATTTTAAGTTTAACGATTGATGCAGGTGCTTTCAATACGTGGCTTAATTTCTTTGGTTTGGTCTACATTTGATGTTATCCATGTTCCTAAATATTTGTAGTAAGCACACACCACACTCTTAATTACAGTATCCACAACAATCAGTTGGATGTTTGTATCTGCTGATTTAGTCATGATCATTCATATAGTTTGTTTCAAATTCATCCTTAGTCCGTATTCATTAAGTCGTTGCATCACGTTCTGTAAATCATTGTCGTTATTTGTCATTATTACTGTATCGTCTGAAAAACGCAAGTTATTCAAAACCTTTCCATTAGTAGATATCATTTCTATTGAATTTGAGCTTCTTTAAATACCCCTTCACTTCAGACATTAAAGAGAAGTTGTGACAGCACGTAACCCTGGTGGATTCCTATATGTATTTTAATATCTGAGGCATTTTGGTTGTCAACTCTTACCTTGGCAATTTAATTTCAATTCAATTCAATTCAATTTTTCTAAGTGCTTTTCTCTAGTCGGATTGCCAAATATAGGCCTCTCCTAATTCTGACCATTCATCCCTATTGTTTGTAAAACGTTTCCACATTGGCCCTGCAGTTCTTTTAATATCGTCGCTCCATCACATTTACGGTCTTCCTCGTGGTTTTTTGGCTTCATATGGCCGTCAATTCCCGATTTCGTTATTCCATCGGCCATCCGTACGACGTTCGTTATTTCCAGCCCCTTTCCATTTCAGTTTAGCTGCCTGTTCGACAATGGTTTTATGGTCTTTGAGTGAGATACCCAGCATCTGTCGTTTCATAGCTCTCTGAGTTTTTCTGATCTCCATGTTTATTTTAGTGAATGTCCAGGTTTGAGCTCCATATGTAAGCACAGGTAGGATACAGGAAATTAACACTTTGGTTCGCAGTCTTTGAGGTATATTTTTATTTTGAAGTACGTATGAGAGTATTCCGAATGCTGCCCATCCCATTTTTACACGTCTGTTTATTTCGGTAGTCTGATTTTCTTTGCTTACCTTGACATTTTGACCCAGATATGTATATTCATCTAAGTGTTCTATCTCGGTCCCTTCGATGTTTATTATAGGTTTGTCATCTTTGTTTGACATTAGTTTAGTTTTGCTGAAATTCATTTTCAGTCCTTTTTTAGGGATTCTGTGCACATCTCCTTAATCATCGTATTTAGTGCATTCCATGTGTCGGCTATTAGTACTACATCATCTGCGTATCTAAGATGATTCAAGTATCTTCAAACATTAGTTGAAAATGTAATTTTCATCACGATTAATTGCGGCCTAATCTAATATAAATATTAGATACGTACACCAAATGGAAAATAATAAGATATCATCGTGTGGACGATGCCATCAATAATGACAACATAGATAGATTGACATTAAATTTGCAAAAAACTGCAGTATATAAGTTATTGATATAGAAGTTTAAAATACAGGCCCTTGCGTCAGTTAATTTAGGAAAAACTTCAAGCTGCACGAACCATTGGACGAATTATCCCTGCTTAAGTAAGCATCATGCCTACATTCAGTAAGTAAAAAAGTAGAGTAAAAGGTACTACTATTCGGACGATCACCACATCATAAGCAAGTTGTACAATTAAAACTTTATATCACCCAAAATATTCACTTACCTGTTTCTGGTGGTGGTTCTGGAGTTTTTTCTTTTTCTGGTTCTGCTGGAGGTTCACCTTCGGCAGGTGCTCCTTCTGCTGGAGGTTGTCCCTCTGGAGCAGCTCCTTCTGTAGTTTGACCACCTTCTGCAGGTTGACCCTCCGTTGGCTGACCTTCGGCAGGTGCTGGTGCGGCACCTTCAGCCGGCGCTTCACCTTCGGCAGGTGCTGGTGCAGCCTCGCCTTCTGCTGGAGGAGCTGCCGCTGGTGCTAGTATTAAAAACTCTTGTTTAAGACTTCAAAACATATTACATATTATTGGAATATTTACGTGCATAATTTTATAGTTACTACTAACGTTCAAAATTGTTAATCTAAAATATCGTTGTTTATTTTAAATGTTAGGATATATCAAGCTTAGATTTTTTTAGTATATAGTTTATTTTTTAATGACACAAGTTATACAACGACAAGTTATTACAACTTTCAAAAATGACAGTTACAAAAATTAACATTTATATTTGAAGTTGCCTTACCTTCTTCTTCACCTTCCTGAAAATTTTAAAAATGAATAAGATAAAGAATAAAATTTAGATATATTTTATAAAAAAGATCGAAAAATTGTAAATGCATATTTTAACCTTAATAATGTATGAAAATTTGAGAAATGATTTGCCATGATATTTGATTTTCATCTCGTGCCCATACCTGCATGGTTTCATGTATAAAAAAATCGAACATGACGAACAATCTAATAGAGAACCTTCTAACTAGGTCTTATATCTACATTAGGGCATCATTAATTATCTTTAAAACTCTTATTTGATCATGGACCAAATAAAAAAGATAAGAATACGATTGTTTAGTGTGGAAGTTCAGTAGATTAGATTCAGCAAGCACAAGAAAGATCAGTTTTCACAGCATCGGGACAGTAACCAAAATCGGAAGACGTTTATACTTATTTTTAAAATTTGGAAGATATATCAATTTTTTGCTGTTATTAGGGATAACAGCTTTGGCAGTGTTTCCTTTAGGTGCTTTTGGGTATTTTGTAAAACTGTTGTTATGTTAAGACAGGACCATTTTGCTCAAATATAATAGTTTTTCTGAAAATATTTCAAATATATCCTGTCAAAAGTTTCAAGATTTGGAAACGTTACAATGCAAATTCTCGGATTCTGAATAATTGTGTGAAAAAAATTGATGATCGATTGCAATAGGGTTTGCTAAAAACAACTGACCTGTTTCAATATATGATATTAGTTAAATTTATGTTACAATTAAAATGTATAGTATGAATCTACATTAAAAAGTCAACTATGGTAACTTTTAAAGCAGGTACGTAGTATATACAACTTTTTACGAATCAAAAACGTGAAGTTTTTCTTTCTTCTACTCCTATTTATTAGCCTACACATTTGCAACATGACTTTTCGCGGCCGTTAAACTTAATTTTATTTTACGGCTTTGTACGAAAACTCCTGGGTAGTTTATAATGCTGACCTATTTTTTAATATATAAGCGGTTTAACCTTTATAAATTGGTTAGTCTGCGCTCGTATTTAACTAGGTGAAAAAATTGTGACATATTAACAGGTACTTTTATTATAATGATAAACAATATTGAAATACTTATAAGTTTATATGGGTATAAATTTTATTTTTTTTATGCAAAATATTATACCATATATTATAAACATAAGGTATATGGAACATATGCCGGAAGTTAATAATTATCATATTAATAATGTGTTAATCCAGGTCTATTCTAAGCGTGCGCGTCTATGCGTTCGAAAGTTGGGGGGGGGAGGGAGAGGAGGAAGAGTACCACGCTCTGGAAAGAGATGTGTGAAAACTGGATGAGGACATATGAGGCCAGGATACGGGATCGCCATTAAAAAGTGTCGTATGTTCGTATTTACACTACGTATGATATTCCTATGAACAAGAAGCTTGAGATAAGACGAAAGCTCTTTCTGGCCGGCAGATGAGATGGAGTATGGTGGGACGAGGGAGCTTAACAGGCCGTACTCTTTACCATGGATGGACTTGTCAAGGCATTGGGCGCACTCAAGATACGCAGGTCCTGGAGAGCAGGACTGGATTAATACCACCTGACGCGGTAAAGTGTCTAGGACAGTCAAAGCCTGCGTAGCTTCTGGAAAACATTAATAAACTGCTAGAAGCACAGACCTTTTCTGAGCCTTGGAGGACATCGAGACTTATACTGCTTTTCAAAGCTGAGAAAAAGTATAGCCCTATCTACCTCGTTTCATGTATAGGTAAGCCGTATGAAAGAATGCTGCGAGGACGCATCGATGACATGATTAAGAGTTCACTAGGTTTTATCCCTAAAACAATATCGTTTTTGCAAACAGGAAAGCACGATTGATGTAATGAGTGTATTCGACGCACTGCACATCAGATAAGATGGATATCTCTGGGAGGCGTTGTTGTTGTTCGATGTTAAGAATGAATTTAATATGCTGCAGTGGGACGATGTATTGAAGGAAATTGATGAGAGAGGATGTCCTGATAAACGTGGTGGCAGAGTATCTGTCCGTGAGAAGGATAATGGTGAAGAAGTGCAAGATCGTCGACGTGACAGCCGGAGTTCCCGAGGGATCTCTCTTGGGCCCGACGCTATGGAACTTGGCATATGTCGTGGTTGTGAACTATAAATAAAGAGAGAACACAACTTTCTTCGTATTCACAGATGACCTCGCTGTGCTGGTAGGTGCGCGGGATGAACCAGATCTCAAATACCAGGTTCTGAACGCAGGCGTCGTCGTGAAGAAATAGATGATAGCACGGAATAAAACTCGTGGCAGAGAAAACGAAAGTCAATATTCTGAAGTAGAAAAGAAACAGGTAAAGTGTGGAAGTACCATGTACGGGGATGTGTCTAACTCAAAGAAAAACCTAAAGTACCTGGGAGTGATATTGAAGTAGCATGGAGAATAGGGGAGCACGTGCAGTAAGTGACCCAGAAGGTTGCAAATAGTGCGGCTGGGTTGGGAAGGGTGATATCCAACATTGACACACTCAAATCCAAAAGGAGGACAGCCTTACATGGTGTTACGCAGTCAATCGTCCTCAACCCGGCACCAGTATGGAGTGGGGCGGTAGAGATACCAACCTACAGGAGACTCTTGGGCTTTCAGCTATCACTGGATATATTTCGCTGCAAGTGCTGTAGTTAAAAGAAAAGAGCTATATGAGAAAAGAGATCTGGACCTTATTATGGCCAAAAGAATACAGCAAAGGGGAAAGCCAATTGATGGTCATAAGAATAAAATAATACGGAGAATGTGGCACAGTGGATAAATATGCTGATCCCAAAGCTAACAGATTGGGTGGACTATAGTCCACCCAATTATTCTGGACTATTTTCTAATTCAGGACAAGGGTGGAACATGGGTAGAACAGGACACGGGTGTTTCAGGGCCTACCTATCTAGGCTCGTGAAGGCTGACACAAATGAATGCCTATATTGCAGGAAGAAAGGCGAAATGTCAATTTTTTTTATTTTTTGTTCAGAACAGCAATATGTAGATTTTTAGTAGTAGTTTAATGTGAGTCATTTAAACATGGGAATAAGACGAATCCTCATAGCTTAAAACACGTTGTAAAATTCTTCGTACAGGGAAGAAAGGCGAATGGTCTTTGCGTAAATCCGAGAAATATGGAATGTCAGTGCTTGTCGGGACGTCGGGGGAGTACACGCCGCATTTTGTTTACTAAAAACGTTTAGTTTTCGATTAGCTTTCATTAAATAAAGTGCATATTATTGTGCTCGAAAATGACGGATAGTGAAAGAAATGATACGTGTCGCGAAAAAAACACTAGAAAAAGGAAAATTACAGGTCGAATAAATGAAGTAATCGAAACAGGTGACGATTGTCAATGTAAGATACTTATGTGTTTTAAAATAGTAGATCAACAAAACCGATCAAACATTATAAAAAATTTTAACCGTATAAGGCGTGATGAACAAAATATTTACTTGGCAGGCCTAATAACGTTAATGCAGGTAATGCAAAGAAATGAAGCTACATCAAGATTGCATGATGCAACGTATTGTTTTAGAGTTAGAATAACGACTGACGATAAAACTACTAATGTTTCAGTTTGTTTTAAAGCTTTTCTAAGCCTTCATAGCATTGGTCGGAAGAGGCTTGAAAATATTCAAAATAGTTTAAAAGCTACTAAAAGATTGCGTGATGCAACGTATTGTTTTAGAGTTAGAATAACTACTGACGATAAAACTACTAATGTTTCAGTTTGTTTTGAAGCTTTTCTAAGCCTTAATGGCATTGGTCGGAAGAGGCTTGAAAATATTAAAAAAAGTTTAAAAGCTACTGGTAGTGCACCAATTGACAACCGCGGAAAAAATCCAAAAAAACACGCATTAACAAAACAACAGCTAGATGAAGTTATTGAATACATAAAGCGTTTTAAAGGAATAGAAAACCATTATAGTAAAAATAAAACTAAGAAAATGTACAATATGTACAAATCCGACAAGGGCGCTCCTGCGTCTTACGAAACATATCGACAAATCTTTAATAAGCATTTTAACATTAGCTTAAGCTATCCACGGAGTGATACGTGTAGTGCTTGCGATCATTTTTTGGCTGACCTTAAGGTCCTTCACAATAAACTGAATGAAACAAATAATGCCTCTGAAAAAGAAAAGATAGAAGTTGAGATAAAATGAATAGCTTTGGCAAATTGCCTACACAAATCCAAAGCGAAAGCATTTTATGCAATAAAGAGAAAGGCAAGGAAAGCAGCGATGTAGAATATTAACTGTGAAGCAGTCGCTATGAATTTTGAAATAAAATTATCCACTCCAAATATTCCGACCAACGACGTCTACTATAAGAGACAACTGACGCTTCACTCCTTTAACATTCATGTATTGTCAACAGGGAATGCTACATTTTATTGTTTTCCAGAAACCACAGGAGCCAAAGGTTCAAACGAAGTATTGTCATTTCTGCACCATCTTATCTTTGTTCAGCTTGATGTGTCAGTTCGTCACCTTCACATATTCTGTGATTCATGTGGCGGCCAAAATAAAAACTTCACTGTTTTCCGTTATCTTTATATGTAGTTAATACTGCAAAAAGGTTGGACTCAATCAAAGTAACCTTTCCAATACGAGGTCATTCTTACATGGAGTGCGATCGAGATATAAGTGTGATAAACCAAAAAAATATGGCTGAACTTCCTGAGGATGGGTACACGGAAATTAGATCATTTCCAGTAAAACCAAATCCGTTCGATGTCGTAGAGGTCGATCAATCACTTATAAAAGACTGGTTACTATTCTTGGAACAAATTTACGTAACTAAACCAACATATAAATCAAGACCAATCAGAGAACTCGAAATATTGAAAGATCATGCACGCCTTCAAACACGCCAATCAAACACCGAGATTCCTATAATGGACAATTTGAGACGTCAATTATACGCAAACCATTTACAAATTCCGATGAGGTGCAACTACCCAAGAGCCAGTTTATTTAGCCACCAAAATTATATA